AGGGAAATGTTTAACGCACTTTCATTCACACCAACCTTAAATCTCTTTCTGGTTCAGTTGTAAATCACGACATGTGCAAAGCTTATTAACATTTCTGAGGTCATGTAGGTATTTTGTTGATGGAAAGCATGGTGTGTATTCTGAGAGAAACTCAAGGATTCAATCATCACTATCTGCCCTCTAGTGGTCATTCAAAGGTACTGACACAACTACAAACAACACACTGACCCATAATCACTTACTCACCTCAGCTATTTGTTTTGATAAAACTTTTCAGTTTTTTTTCTTTTCTCCAGAATTTTTTTCTTTCAACCCAGTTAAGCACTTTGAACAAAGATTCTGACATTCACCAATGTTTTCCTATTTGGGATTTGTTCTCAGGAAAGAACTGAATATACACACATTTGAGTGCTGACATGTTTGTGCAAAATAATTGGTAGGTGTGTTTTCTTCAATTCTACAGTTGTGTAATATTACAACATTTAAATTCCTTCTTTCTTTTTTTTTACCATTTAGAATATTTTTAAAAATCATTTCATTATTTTACAATTAATAAAAATAGAACAAATGTTATTCTAAAATAAACACTCCCATACAAATCAATTATGTTGATTGGGAACCATGCTATCCAATAATTAGTGATCGATCACTCTATTTATAGGCCCAAAATAGGCCTATTTCTGCTCCCTGGGTCTACTCGCACAATGCCACATTTACCACTGCTCCAAGATGCTACAGATGGTGCCTTGGGAAGGAAATGCATGATGAGGGCAAGCCTGTCCCCCTCCTGTGGTCAGTGTCTCTCCTCTGTATTTGGTGGTATTTTTGTGGCCACAGATTTAAGATTGAGCCTTTTTTTAAATGAATCAGTTGTGTGCCCTTCTCACAATATAGCATCTGCTTAATGAGTAATAGCATCTCATGCATTGTTTTTTTTTATATCCACTAATGACGTTATTAAATATGACAGCTCATTTGGAGTTCACCTCCTGCAGAAGTACCTCGCTCATCAACTATCGAAGTGGTTTTTTATGTTTGGAGTCCAGTGCTCCACCCTCTTTAGACTTTTGTTTGGGCATTCTTAACTTAATCTCTTAAATTTTCTTTTAAATATCTGTGTGCACACGGCCCTGCAGTCTCATGCCCTTTTATGGGGATTTGCAGGGCGTTTACCTAAATGCTAATTAGGATCAACTGGCAGGCACTTTCAATTTACAAGGTCAAGGAGAGTCTTCATTATATGCACACAACTGTGAACAATTCTGTGGTTTGAGGACACGTCATGAATCTGACAAACTTTTGTTTGGAAATTTTCAAGAACAAACTTAAAAAAAAAAAAAAAAAAACTAAGGAGGATAGTGTTGAATGAGGCCAAATGACGTCTGTGTCAGGACGTCACAGAGCACAAAGTTCCTGTTCTCTGCCACTGGTATAAAGGAGGATGCTGGGAAAAAGGCTCAGTTTTAATACTGGGTTTGGAAGAGGAGTGAGGTGGGATAACACAGGAAGCTTATCTGGGTCAGCTACGCACCATGGGAAGCTGGTGTGCTTACCTTTTCTGTACACTGCTGTGTGCCGCTGGACTCCTTTACAGCTACGGTCAAGTCCAAACAGAGGAATACAAAGCTAAATATTTAACCTATTTCACTACGACTGAGGACGGCAATGAAAAGCAACTGGTGAGCTACACCTGATGGTCTCCCAAAGCATAAATAGTGCTGGTGGAAATTCTTCATGATGTTGTTTCTTATTTGATATTGTGGTTTTCTATTGTTTATTAAAGTAAGACATAATATTTCTGCATCCCCAGATCAATAATTTACATGGAGTTTTAGAAAGACTTCAGAACAATGAATTTCCAGCTCTAAGAAAAAGGCATGGCTATCTACCTGTGGTGCGTAATGCAACGACTCCATTTGAAATTCCTGAAATCATTCTGTTTGGCTTAATATGTTCATCATCTTTCCATCTTACTTCAGTTTGGTGTCTTGTCTTTTCAGTGTGATCCAGGAGACCAGTGTGCACTAAGGAAAGGCTCCAGGATCGGGAAACTATGTGACTGCTTTCTGCCGAGAACATGCAACTCTTTTTTTCACCGTTGCTTGTGATTGTTTACCAAACAAACACTAAAAATAATTTATAAATTTCTGATGTATTTGATGTCATAGTTCTCAAGTATTCAATTGCCTATTTTTTTCCTGCTACTGTCTAATTGTAATATTTAATTTTTTTTTAATTCAGTATTGAGTGCTGATCTATTAAACATGTTGTTGTGTGAGTTTTGTGCTTGTGTTTGTGTGTCCACTGACCTGTACACTAGGAGCTCGCTTGGTCCACATAGATTGTTTTTTGTCCTTAGGCGTAGCTATAAACATGACGGGCAGAGACTCTCTGGAGGCCATGAAGTCATTCTTGATCTCTGTGTATTCGACGGCTGCACGTGACAGAGTGGTGAAAAACAATCACGCTTGGTGTTGAAACAGCAACGAATACGAGCAGGATCTTAAAGTATGTCCGGTGTGAATATAGAATGAGGTCAGGGGCGAATTTGTTTGTGTGACATAGAGGGAAAAGGGGTGTGTGTGTGTGTGTGTGTGTGTGTGTGTGTGTGTGCTTGCCTGTGAGCTGGTTGTTGAGGTTGACTACCAGCGGGTTGTTCCTCCAGTCAAAGGAAGAAAGCAGACGAAGGAAACGAAGGAAGCCAACCTGAGGAGAGCTGAGGAAAACAGAAATCATTCACATGACCTATTGAATGAACAAAGGGAAGTTCAAAAAAAAAAAAAAGTTGTCCACAATTGAGACTGATATGGTGGACTGATTATTAAAAAGTATGAGCCGTAGTTACCCGGGAGGAGTAAAGGGTGCAGGTTGCAGGAAAAGCGACGCCACAAGCAGGTCTGCTGTGTCCTCTGTGATGTCTTCACTGAAGAGCTGTGCCCCCAGCCAGCGTTTGGCCAGGCGACACACTGCCCCGAAACATGGGTGCTGCTGCTGGAGCCTACCAACAACAGGATGACATGTATGACATGGAGAAAAAAGTGAGGAAATGGTGCATACAGGGCAAGGAAAATAATGAAGAAACAGGAAAGAGGCAAAAATGTGGCAACTGAAAGGAAGAAAAGTAGGACAAAGGTTGAAGAAAGTTAAAGCATATAATCAAAAACACACTACTTTGTGTTACAGTTTTAATCTTACCCGTGCAATGTGCTGGTAAGAAGCGGCTTGTGAATGGTGGCCATCTCCAGAGCCTGAGCCTCCTCGTTGTCCCTTACAACCAGCAGACCCTCTTCATTCACACTCTCCCTCAGCACCTGAGGCTCACGATGGTACGCCACCTGGATGCGGAACAGCAAGCCATCCTGGATCCACAGACAAATGGAAATAAACAGCATGAATAAACAAAATACTGTGAACTGCGATTTAAAACCAAAAAAAAAAAAAAAAACACTGTACCAACAATATGCCTGAACACACCACAAACTTATAATCAGAGTCCAAAGAAACCACAGTCGAGTCCACAGACAAGTGTGGGACCTGTACACAAACTCAAAAATATACCTTCCAGACATCTAGGTGTGCAGGGCACGGCCTGCTCGTGTAATTATGGTGCTTCTTGAGTAACTCTCCGAGGCGGATGTGGAAGGCAGTTCGGAGGTGGCGGATGGCGAGGCGGTCGTGAGGCCACTTTCCACTCCCCTCCATGTGACAGATCACTGAAAGAGCACAGTTACCAATACATTGGTATACGAGTTAGTATTGCTAAATGCCTGTGGTTATGTGGCTGTATTTTCCCTGCTTTGAATACACAGGTTGTAACTCTGTTTAGCAATGCTGAAATAACTAGGTACATTACAGAAGTCAAAGAAGGTATGTTCCAGTCACAAACATTTTCTATGGCAGACGGTGCAGGAATGACTTAAGTCTAGATCAGTAGGGTGTTTGTACTTCATGAGGTTGGTGTGCTACGAGATAGATGGATAGGTTACTGAGGAGGAAGTGGGTATACCCTGTATACTTGTATAAAAACTCTTAAGTAGTTGCTGGTGGATGAAACACTAACCTGTGATAGGGGTGATATAAGCAGGGCAGGGTTTGCCCTCCTTAGGTACCAATGATCTGGACATCTTTTCTCTGTCAAAGAAGGAATAGTCCAGCTTCAGTGGCAGAGGGGGGAAGACCTGCAAGGCACAGATTAAATGTTAGGAGGACTATCATAAAGTCAAATTTACAGTTTGCAATAACCTCAGCCATCAATAACTTCACAGAAGCTCACTGAACTTGAGTTGCATTTGCTGTAGTGTTTAAAATAATGCAAAATTACTTATATTTTACCACTATGACACTGCATTTATTGGAGCAAGTTGTTGTCAAGAACAACCAGCTTTACCTGTGTGTATCTGAGTGCAGGGTGGGCTCCTTGCACTGCTGTGATGGACAGAGGCAGACCTTCCAGCCTCCACAGTTTTCTACTGAGGTCATCATAGGACTGAACCACCAGTAAACTCTCCTCCTCTCCAGTACTGGTCTCCTGAAGAGCACAATGTCAAACACATGGCATACATACACAGTTTTAGACTGCATTTATTTTGTGATAAAACAGCAACACTAACACCCACTTCTGGGGGTCTGCACCATTTTCTTTTGATTGAACAACAAGCATTATAAAATAACAAGAATCTAGTAAATGAGCAACATAATATAAATTAATTGCACTATTAGTTTAACGTATATTCCAACAGGAACACACACACAAAACAGCATTAAGTAAAAGAAAAATACTTATTAATAAACAAATAAAGTGCAACAACAACAATACAACATTCACCATACAACACATAAAACAATATTCTATTGTTTTTTGTTAATACAGCTAATCAATTTTCGGATTTAAAATCAACCGATTTGCCTTTTACCTCACTTCCCGTTTTGATGACGTCATCCACCATCGCCCCCACATAACGCACACAGGATTCGGGGATATCTGCATGCCTGGTGGATAATAAATATATTATTTTCTTTTTAAAAACGACGTTTCAACAAACTCATACCCACACTCGCCTAACTTTCATTTTCTGTCAGGACATATGCAAAAGTGAAACTGGTCACAAACTGGCTTTTTATTACCCAAAAGACCCTTTTTTGGCGGTGGCAGTCGGTGCTAGCTGCTAACATTAGCTAGCTAGCTAACGTTAAAAACATTTTCAGACATAAGCCAGCTGCACGGAAAATAATGAAGCGTACGGGGAGGAGACGGAGCTCTGTGTGGGACTGCTTTGAACAAGTTGGGAACTTCGTCCGCTGCATGAAATGTGACGCTACGTTGAAGTACTGCGGCGGAGCCACCAGCTCCATGATGAACCACATGAGCAGGCACCATCCGTCCACGGCACCCATAGACGAGGACGAGAAACCGGTGATTTGTACCGTTCAGTGTATGGAGGAGGAGAGCAGCGCTAATTCGGACGGCATGCAGGTTGCTATCATGCCACCCAACGTAAACATGACTGCCAACCCCCATGAGCGTGACTATGGAGAGAGGAAGCGCCTGAAGCGGAGCTCTGTGTGGGACATTTTCATCAAAGTGGATGACGAGGTGCACTGCACGATGTGCGACACCAAGCTGAAGTACAGGAGCAGCACCACGAGCATGATGTACCACATCAAAAACAAGCACCCAGACACTATGCCTAATGATGGCGTGTCACTGGCAACACATGCAGAGGTGACTGAGCTCATCTCCAGAATGATAGAGAAGGACATGCTTCCCATCAGCGTGGTTAGTGGTGATGGCTTTCGTGAGCTACTTACACACACTGTGCATAACTATAAAATGCCATCTGTTGGTGATATCACGCGCCTCATTGAAGGTCATTTCCATGAGAAAGTGGAGGAGCTTGTGGTGCAGCTGGGCAGAGTGGAGAAAGTGGCTCTCACTGCTGACTTCTGGACAGCCCTCCCATTTCAGAGGTACATTACAGTTTTCTGTTCGTTCATAACAGAGGATTGGCAGGGGAGGTCAGCTGTGTTGCAGACACACAAGCTATCATCAGACAGCCACACCACTACAGACAGCATCACAGAGAAGCTTCTTAACACCGTGCAGTCCTGGGGTATCGCTGGCAAAGTGACTGCATGTGTTCATAACAACATACAGGACATCTTGTCAGCCAATGCGTGTGCCCGTGTCACCTGGGACTATGCAACTTGCTTTGCCACAACACTGCAGCTAGCAGTCAGCGATGGGCTGAGTGAGGATCTAGTCCGCATCATTGTTGCTGCAGGAAAACTAGTCAAACACTTCAATCAAAACTTGCTGGCAAGCGAGGCCTTGGAGCAGAAGCAAGTTCAGATGTGCCTGCCACAGCACAAGCTTATCCAGTCGAGCAAAGCTAGATGGGACACAATCTGCGATATGTTTGAACGGTTACTGGAGCAGCGGTGGGCAATTAAAGCTGTGCTCTCTGATCGCACAATTACCAACAGACAGGAAGCCCAGATCCTTGAGATTGAAGATGATTGCTGGCAAATAATTGAGAATTTCACACCTGTGCTGGCAACTCTGAAATGGGCAACCACAGTCATATCTGCTGAAACAGAAGTGTCCATTTCAAACATCTACCCAATCACATTCAGTCTCATTCAGACCCACCTTGTGCCAAAAGAAAATGATGTGGAACAAGTCTCTGAGTTTAAGCTGAAAGTTCAGAAGTCACTTAGAAATCACATGGAGGTAGGCATAAAGTAATCAATTTGTCTGTTAACTGGCATGCATTTGGACATGATTTTAGTAGAAGTGCTGATTAAAATAAACAATCTGTATTCTATTTCATTTTACCATTCACAGGTGGACTCTAATGACCTAGCCTCCAAACCCGCTCTGATAGCCTCTATGCTGGACCCTCGTCACAAACATCTCAGCTTCCTGACGCCGACGGGGAGACTAGCCGCAAAGGTTAAACTGCATGAACTGGTTTCAAAATTAGATGTGATAACTACTACTGTGGGCACAAAGGATGAACAGCAGGAGATCCTGGTCACGCCTGACATTAGCCAGGTGGCTATGCCCTCACAACTAAGAAGCGACACCAAGAACACCATGATGTTGCTCCTGGGAGACAACTACAGCTCCTCCTACGCCACAGACTCGGAGGCTCAGGTAGATTATTACTTGAGAGACATTGCTCCTTCACTGGACATAAACCCCCTTGACTGGTGGAGGGTAAATGGACCGAGATTCCCCAAACTGGCCACTCTGGCGAGACACTATTTGTGTGTACCTGGAGTATCGCTGCCATCTTTATTGTCAGAGGCTGGACAAACGTTTGCAACGAGGCGTACAAGACTGAGCGCAGAGCATACTGACATGATGATCTTTGTCAACAGAAATACATAACTTGCATGACCCTACATGATGGAAGAGTACACTGACCTACACCAATTATAAGCTTACTGTAGGGCAATGGGGGGCAAGAGGCAGTGGGTACAAGTAGGTATGGCTGTTACAAGAAAGAATGTTAATATGTTGTATATGCTGGTGCAAATAATGCTACAAACTACTTATTTTTTTTAATCAACAAAACTTTTTCCCCCTCAAGAGTCACTGTGAACTGAGCGGCAGTCAAATACCTAACTATACCATAACTATTGCTGTAGTTCCCAACATCAAAACACAGTGATTTGTCTTATTACCTCACTTGAATTGTCTGCTGACACCTGACCTGGCTTTCAGTAGTGGATAGTGAGCCAATGTTTAAATGATGTCAGCAATATCTGTGTTAGCGCAAGGACACTACAAATGCTTGGCATTCTACATCAAACATGAGGCATAACCATGGATCTACTAAAGGCTGCTTACAGTATAACCTTTGCCATTACACAGGTAATATGTTTTGTGCATGGTCGTTACAAACACATTCATAATAGATTTCTGTACGACAGTCTACATAGAAGGGTTAAACTAAAAACAGTGAAGAACTATCACTGGTTTGTTCCTTTGTTAGCATGGTAGCATACTGAATAACTATATTATCAATACAGCTAGAAACTCACTGACCAAACTAACTGTATTATTAACTAGTATTATTGTGGTGTCTGTCGTGTTTCTTAATGTGCTACACAAATATAAAATACATACAGCTGTAGCAGGTGTGCAATGATCTGTTTGGGGACCATCCGTTTCTCGCACATGCTCTTTCCGTCCCACAGCACAGCCTCAGTGATGGCACCATCCTGGAAGCGACGCAGCTCGGAGCGAGAACCCCACATCTGACGAAACTCAGCCGCCTGGCAAAAGAACACCGCTGTTGTTAATAAAGAATCATAATGCAAGCATGGTAACACACAGGTTAGTCTTTTTTGCATGCAACCAGAAAAGCCTTTTAAAAAGGTGCAAATGCTCACCGTAGCTGCTAATATAACACTACAAACACATGCACAGAAAGGAGAGACAGGTGAGGTTACCTTGGGGCTGTCTGCAGGTGGGCCTCTTTCCAAGACAGAGGCTGCCAGCTCTGGCTGTAAGAGCAAACCGAAGGAGAGAGGAGGTTGGGCTTTGTGTTTTGGGGCCTCACTCTCCACAGACCACTGTAATGAAAGAAGCATGAGAAGACAGTTCAGCAATTTCAAAGATCTAAAACTGTAAATCATATTTACAGGAGTGTTTTTTTGTCTCACTCCTCTAATACACTTTAAACTGTGTTGACTCAAGACCATGTACTGTTATGGCAGACGTGCTGATTCAACCAGGGTTTTGTTAAGCACTGAAAAGTAGGTATGGACCGTTTGCCAGCTGAATACGCCACATCAAACTAAATCTTTCTCACCTCAAGGTCAGGGGGGAGGGAGTGGGTTAGGAGGTGAATCCTTTGGCCCAGTCCTTGCTGAAGCAGGGTCAGAATAAAAGGGAGTGCCGTTTGGACATAATTTCCACTGTGGTCCATCAGCTCACTGAGGAGATCCAGTTTCTTACAGCTGGACTGAAGCTTCACCAGCTCACATAACCTGGGTGGGGGATGGAAAGCACAAAACTGAAGTCAGCAGGATGAGAATGGGAAGACAATGTGAAAGAGTTCTGCTGTAAATGGGAAACACTTGTGATGTCAGACTAGCAGTAGGTTTTTTTTTTCAGTACCCTATTTATTATCTGGCATTTATGACCCTGACAATGACTGTGTACGAGATGGTGTCTAAACTATCTTAAGCCAGAACCTGTAAAGAAGAAGTTAACACATTGACAGTGGAAAATGATATGTGCTGCAGAGGAGAGGTAAAAACTAAGCTGTTATGTAGTACATCATAGAGAGACTGGATATAATTTTGTTTTGGTGCATTAGCTGATAAATAGAGCCGTACTGGAATAAATGGTCGCTTGTCCGTATCATGGGTTTGGGGGTCATGAGGAGACTGTGGAACCCATCCACTGTAGGATTGTCCCAGAACTGCATCGACACAGATGCCTCGTGCTGCAGCTGAAAACCAATTTGAAAACAGTCACAACCTGTTGCTTATTGTCACCAGTGTAAAACAAATCCAGCTTGAAATCACATTTTGTTTTCCCAGTATTTACCTGTTTGTAGGTACAAGCGGTCATGTCAGCACACATGTTGAGATGTCCTGAAGGGTCGATGAATACGACCTGGAAAGCGTTGTGGAACTCTGGAAGAGATGGCTGCAGAGACAGAAATAAATAGAAAGGGGGCAATAATTATTAATTCAGGAGGTAAACAAGAGTGTGAATAAGCTACATGCACAGAGACCACTTACAGCTGTGAAGTCAGGATCTCTGGCCAGGCTAATTCCATCCACTGTCAGGTCTGTAGATGCTGAGGGTTCGGATGAGAGGTGGGTAAGTTGCAACATATTCAAAACAGGGATAATCACTCCTACTGTCTATCATATTATGTATATTATTTGTATTTATAAAAACTGGTTTGGTGGGTTTTAAATTTGCTTACCCAGGAAGTTCAGGGTGTTTCGAAGCAGCTGATAGGCCGTCATGGAGTTACTGATTCTGTGAGTGGTCAGCAGGTACGCCAACAGCATTGAAGCCAGGAAGCCATTAAAACAACCAGTGCCCTTTAAGACATTAAGAGAGCAAATACAAAGGTGAGGGGTGAGATAAATGGAGTCAGAAGACTAATAAATAAAGAAGGAAGTGCAATAACTAAGACAGCGATTGCGAGCCTCCTACCTGGTCGAGCTCTCTTTGACGAAGCCAGACTTTGAGCAAAGCCACCCCATCAGCAAAAGCTGAACACTGGGAGCTGACAGCAGAGAGAAACTGGAGGTGAGCCCTGGGCAGTAAATCCCCCAGAACAGAGCTGTTGTAATGTGGAGTGGGAGGTTCACTGCTCTCTGCAACAGACAAACAAGAAATAAATTGGTCTTGATTAAAGCAATAATTCAATTTAACTGTTGCTGAAAAACAATGTAGTCCTGATTATACATATGATCATTGTTTGTTTACAGGTGATGAGATAATTGTGATGAATAACATTTGCAGAGCTAGCTGCATAACTTAACATTGAATCTTACCAGATAGGGAGGTCTGTAATCCGGTGTACCATTCTGTCCGGACATTATTCCTTTGAGGGTGGAAACGGCTGGGCTTGAAGAATCCAGGAGGCGGACAGGCATGAACACGTAGAGTGAAGCTGGAAGAGTCTTTACCTGAGAAGACAGGGCACAATACATCATGATCATAACCAGAAACAAAACACTATGAAAGATATGCAAAGAAAATGAAATACAACGCTCTTCAACAGTGTTCTGCACAATATGATGTAAATTAAAGGAAATTTTCACTCTCCAAATGACCATTTGTATATCAATTACTCATCCTGTGTTACATTTGTGAAGAAAACATTGATTTCTTGCATCTCTTCGGTGAACAAAGTATTCAAAAACTGAAAAAAATTCTTGCTGTTGTTTATAACAACAGCAAAGGTATATCAAAACACTCCTATGACTTCAATTTATCCAAAATGTTCTCAGTTTTTGGATTCTTCATTCATCGGAGGCACGGAAGAATAACAAATACTTCCTTACAAATTCAGCGTGACATGGGGTGACTAACTGACATACAAATGGTCATTTGGGGGATGAATTATTCCTGTAAAAGTACCTGGATGGGTCAGCAGCAGAACAGGTCGGAGTCGGTTGCCATGGAGACAAGAATAACGCATGCTTCCAATGTCAGAGGAGGATGCGAGATGCTGAGCCAGGCCTGCCAGGTAAAGAGCCCTTTTCCTCGGATACCTCTGGTTCACGACATCCTTCGGGTGGAGGATACTCTAATAACAGAGGGATAAGCAGGTGTCTTTTATAATCTAATGACTGTATCATCATGTTGCATTAAGTTTAAGACTACAACACACTGATCTCAATGCTTCAAGTGATGTATTGAAATAAAACACAGGGAGGTGTCTTACAGCCGGGATTGTGACAGCCAGGTCCACCATGATGCGCGGTTTGGTGCAGGTGCCGAGGGGGTAGCTGCCAATCAGATCGACAGAGGCAGGAGGTGCCATGTGGAACTTGCCCTTTGTTGTTTTGGGCACCAGGAGGAAAGGGACTTTGACTTCACCAGACAGCCATGATAGGTCACTTACCTGAACACAGAGAGGGATTGAGTAGAATATGCTCACATATTTTCATGTGTGAATTTGTGTAGAGCCAAATAAATGGAATAGAGCCTTTACACCCAATCATGAAGCCGTTCTTCCAGTTAAAGCACTACAAACCTCAACCTCTGGTGACTCTGGTACAGTCTGAAGCAGCTTGGTGACTGTCTGAATGAAAGCATCGATTTGCTGTTTCCTACGCTCACTCAGGGCGACCTCTTTCAGCAGCTCCTCCATCTGTTATTGGTGACAGATTACAGACATTTATTAGGAGTGTGTGAAGGGTTGTGTGTTTATTGTTTACATGTGACAACAGGCGTGACTTCAGACATAACCCCATCTCCTTTTCATGTCTCTGTTCATGTCCATGTAAGTCAGAGGTCTCACCTGCATTTTGAGCAGGCTGCAGTGAAATAGGCTTTCTGCCTCTTTCAGTTGGTTCAGCTCCTCAGCTGTAGGAGGTCTGTACAGGTCACTTCTGGACAGCTTCACCGGGTGATAGACCACCTCCTCTGGTTTGCTCCTTTTAGCCTTAATGGGAGCCTCATTTTCCTCCTCCTCATTGCTCTCTGAGGGAACCATCTGTAAAATAACATGTAGTTGCAGCAATGCTCAGCAGCTCGGTTTGATTCAACGTTTACTTTCATTACTACGTAAGAATCACAATGAAAGAGTAATGTGTTATTTAAATGTTAATTCCGGTGTTTGTCTACATTGTCTCAGCTATGCCTGTTGTAAATTCAGTTTCTATTAATTACATACTCCACGTTTACGTAGTTGCCAAACTGCAGGCAAGCACGCAACCACAGAGTCAACTGTCCCGTGGGTTCACTGAGCGGTAGTTAGCCACCAAGCAGCCAAACTCACGATAAATATTACCAGACTTACCTCTGCTGGTTCCTTGGTAACTGCTTGCTTCTTCTTCATGTCTGGTTTCCTCTGAATATGATAAAATTCCGATATTTTAACAGATTCAATCAACACTTCTTTCCCTTCATTGCGCCTTCACATGTGCAAAGGGTCAGTCAACCATGCTACGAAAGAAAATATTCCTCTGCTTGGTGTAGAAGCCGCGGCGGTGGATGGTGATTGGCTCGCTGCACGCCGTCGTCATACCCAGAGATAGCAAGATAGGTTGCATGAGCAGGCTCCAGTGTGATTGGTGCTCGAGAGCTACTGATGCATCAGTGACGCTGTCCTTACATTATAGTGCATTCAAGATGAAAAAAAAATGCACATGCAGTAAATACACTTTTATTTTTTGAAGCATATTATTATATCAAGTATAAACAGATTTTACATGATCACATTTATGGGCCATTTCCAGCATTCGGTGCCATTTGAGTCCCCATGACAGTATGATATATTTTGTGTACACTTATTTCTTACATTATTACATCTTACATTATTAACCACCTTTTACCATATAATGGAATGATATGTAAGCAGAATTAGTTAAAATTATTCATTTATTAAGTAGGTGACACTGTCATGTTTGCTCAACTTAAATTACAAATATAAGTAATACAATTTTTGTATAGCCATATTCAGTAATATTCCTCACCAAATGTTTTTTGTAATTTAAACGTTTTTGATGCTTACATTTATACATACACAATTATATATATGTGTGTGTGTGTGTGTGTGTGCCCTGTGCCCTCTGATACTGTTTTGCACAGTAACACGGGGGACATTTTATGCTAAAGTTAGCCATTATATGCCATTATGATGAAAAACAAGCGAGCATGCAGGAAGATTTTTTTAACATATTCATTAACCATATTTTCAAAGGTGTTTAACTCATTTTAGTTCATGGGCCAGCCCAATTTTGATCTCAAGTGCCCTCTCAGCAAAAGAGATTGTCACCACATGCAGCACTGTACACAGGATTAATAGAACATTTTCCTTTTAATTTTTATGCAGTTAAAACATGCAAGTCACAATTACAGAAATCACACATAACTTACACAAACTGTGGTTGCATAATTTTTTATTTTGCTGCTTGAGAACTGTATTTTTACACTGTGTGCCACATAAACCATAAGTAAGTAAATCACAACCAGATTTAGGTTTATGTCATCACAGACCCACTGGATATGAGGCTTAATTAATTTAACAATGTGACACTTAATTTAGAAAAAACTTTAATAGCTTGAGATGGCCTGTTGCTTCAAAAATGCAGCTGAACTTCAAAACTTGAGTTAAAGACACAAGCGTCCACACATCTCCAGATTGACTGTCTTTGAACAAAACATTGGAGAGCAGCTCTGTAAAAGTCAGTTCACAACTTTGCCAATGTATCATGTATGTCCAGTATATGTCAGCAGATGGTGCTGTGGTGAAATTTCAAATCATTTTAATACTCTCTACTTGAAAAATATTGTGTGTCATTTTGTGAACCTCACTTATATTTAGCTCCTGTCAGCCGTGACGTTACCCTCCCCTCCAACCTTAGTAATCTCAGGGCTTTTTCATCCCTAAGTTAGTAAATGCCACTTCACTTTCACAGTTAGCTATGTATGAATTGTATTTACCTTTCATGTTTGTATACAGTGTTATTTATCATTTCGATAATCACCTCTGTCACAGGGAGCTGCTCCAGTTGTAATAAAAACATGTACACATTCTGTAATACAAAGCATAATGCCATATAACAATTCACAGTTACAATAACAAATATTTCCTGGGCTATGTCATCTACTTTGATTTTTTATCTCATGCTCTTTTGTCTTAATGTATTGTAATGTGCACATTTATACAGAAAATGCTCTGAACAAAAAAAAGAAGAACAGGAGAGAAAAGTTTATCAGACACCTTCTACAGGGAGCCTGAAGGCTCAAGGTTCACTATGTGGTGTTCATGGTCATTTGATACATTACAATTGTATTCACTTTTTGTCTTGACCACAAAAGCCACAATACAGACAGAAAGCAGAGTCTTTTACTGGGGCCATGAGTTAACATAATGGTCATCCTGCTCTAAAAATAGTCATAGACATGTATTGTCACTAAATTTTATAATCAGTTTTCACACTTCTTGGATTGAAACAAAGGGGTGACCTGAGGTGGTGGACCTGCTGTAACCTGATCAACTGAAAACAGTGGCACAGCTGCATCACTTCGTATCAGCCTCAGCTTGGTAGACTGCGTAGGAGGGTTACATTTGACAGGGTTCATTTCAACTGCATGGGGATCTTGGAGAGAAACACCTTTGGCCAAAACCATTGTGTCCAGGCTCAGAGGCCCAGAGGACACCGTCCCTTCCTTCCTATGTCTGGAGGGAGACAATTTCTTCAGCCAGACATCTGCCTCATTTCTCCTCAGAAGCTTTGCTGGCTGATCCTTGGAGCTGGTTTGTTGCTTCAGTGAGGATACAGTCCTCTCTGTTGGCTGCTTGTTATATCTTGCCTCTAGTTTGGATGGTCCGCTTGGTTTCTTGGAATTGGGTTTTGTGTACTCATTATCCACAATCTCATACTGAGGAAAGATGCAGTGTCGAGGCAAGCAGGACGGATCGAGCCTTCGTATGGGTTGGTAGTTCTTATGTTGATATAATGATCCAGTCTTATGGTTAGAAGCAGACTGTGTCCAATCTTTACCTTCTACTTCCTCTTCTGTTTTTTCTGCTGAACATGACAGGGGTGGCAGTATTTTGCCTGAAGCAGGCTTGGGAGGTATATTAACCTGTTGCTTTTTCTTTAAATCAATTTTTGGTAGGGGGCGAGGACTAAGCACTTTATAGCAATCGTAACTGACAGGCCTCCTGGGACTTGTTTCCTTTTCAGATTGCTTTGGAGAGCTGTTTGTTTGGGCCATAACATTGCATTGTTTGTTGACCCTTGGCTCTGTTTGTACTGGAACCTGGCCAATGTCAGCCTCCTGTTAGGCAGAAATACAATTGGGATATAGATATACTGTAAATATGGACATAGAAGACCTTAAATAAGACTTGGAGAAAAGAAATATCAAGCATACCTGTTTTGAGGCAGAGTGAGGTCGAGGGGTAGCATTCACAACAGGCACACATCCTTGAACCCAGGCATCTGAAGTTGCTGGCATTGGCTCTGAGTCTTCTGTTTCAGATGCTTCCTCTGGTGCTTCTCCTTCATCTGGGCACAGGATTTGCTGATCTAGAATCTGTGTGAGGTAGGTCTTGGCCCAGGATGCGGTGAAAGGTGCTAGCTTAGGGGCAAAGACAGGCAATATCTCCGATGTTAGATGTACATACAGTATATTATGTGTGGTTGAATCAGATGACAGCAAGATGAATAACTGCATTGGTCTCTCCATGAGTGTCAATCAGTAAGATGATGTTCACATTTCAGTGAGATCATAATAAAAAGTGCATATGCCTTTCAGCTTTACCTGCCTTTCAATGTACACTTTGAAACAGCCTTCCATGACTTGGCTCAACAGTTCGTCCATGATCTCCCCCACTGCCTCATGTGCATCCTCCTGGATCAAAATGTCTTCCCATTGGGCCTGAGTTGAGCAACCAGAACTGATATCTTTCTCTTCCAGGTCCTGCATTGAAGCTGTATGTATTTGGACAGATGACATATGTCTTTGCTTGTCAGCTTGGATCTTGGCTGCAGAGCGGGGCATCTTGGCCTGAGTTGAGCTCCCAGATATATCTTCCACTTCCACGTCCTGCGTTCGAGGTGTATGTTTTTGGACAGACGACGTACGTCTTTGCTTGTCAGCTTGGGTCTTGGCTGCAGAGCGGGGCATCTTGGCTCAGAGGCTGGTGTGACATATGATAGAGAAAAACATGGATGTCAAAATGAAAAACAAAACATGTTTGTGAGGATTTAAAATAGAATAACATCGGTCCTTATCAGTTGGCATGTTGCTGTGAAAATGTCATTTGGTAAACATTAGCACACTCTGGTGGCAACGATCAAACTTCACACAGTTATCATTTCTCAATGGAAACTGATGCAAAATTATAATTCACTGAATATTTACAGGAGTTATATTGCTCTTGCTTACTGAATTTACTTGCAGAATTAGAACATAGGTTTATTAATGTTAAAGTTTATACAACAATGTGTGAGAGGCACTAACTAAATCCATTAATAAGACTGCATGTAAAGGCCTTCTATTGTTCTCAGTAAATACCAGCTAGTCAAAACTATTTCCCCAAATCAAGCTGCACACTTAAAACTTAGGAAATGTCTTAGGTGGTTAAGACTTCATAAATGTGTAAATGGCTTGCTTAAACACATATGTAGCAATCAACTTAGTAAACAGGAAGTCACTGTAGAATCACAAGCTTTAACATAACTTCCAAAAATAAGAGTTTTAGGGGAGACATGATGCAATAAATTACACAGCAGAATATTTCTTTGTTTCAGAGTTGGCTTAGTAGTTTCATGCAGTGTATGACAACTTTTTATAATTTGAAATATGGATGAATAAGATATTTTTGTAAAATGTAATAGCCCACTTTGCCAGTTTACGTCATCCTTAAACAGCATTTTGATCAAGTGTCAGGTAATTCGACCGGTTTATATTGTTATTTTACTAATTAACCTAAACAATTAATATATTAATAAGCAAGCTAAAATTAATTTTGTTAGCTAACGTTAGCTATTTAGATACACCTGCTAGTTAACGTTACTAGTTGTAAATAATCTGTATCGTTTAATTTTAGGTCAGCTCATTATAGTTACACAGTTAAAATGGCACAACATATCATCATTCAACCGTGTACAAACAGTTATCACTGTCTGGCCTTTAATAAGAAAATATCAAGTCAGTTCACAACCTTACCACATTCTCTTCTTTGTACCCTTTTCCGTGTAGTCTGTGGTTGCTCAGCAACCGAGAACGCAAGGATGACGTATTACGTAGGGGTGGCGTTGTCTCTATGGCTGCGAAGGACGCGGAGGTAATCCTGTTGCTAACAAGAGCTAAAAAAGTGCTTGGTTCAGATTAACTGTATATGTAATGGCTGACTATGACAGCGCCAGTGGCTGCCGGGTCAATTGCTGTGTGATTTGAAGCAAGAGTTTGAGCAATAAGACACAGAAAAGTAACGGTGGCCTCTTTTATTGACGCTGCAGTTGGCTTCTTGCTAACATACCTCGGTTAGCTTGCTGCTAATGTTTAGTACTTGCGTTGCCAGTTGCCAAATGACAGTAGGCCTGTGTGTTTTAATGAAACTGCTAATCTTGAATTTAACTAGACTCTTTATCTCCATCTCTTAGACTGATACCAGATTAGACTGCCATTTCAACATAGTGCGCTGCTAAGAGAAGACAGCTCCATGTATCACAAAGAGAAGAGCATCCAGATCAAAAACAGCGCCTCGGCGCTGTACAACAACCTCGGCGTGCTACGCATCGCCCCGCGGCGCCTCACCTACTTCACGGTGGTCCATGCTAACGTGGTCAACATGGTCAGCGCGTCCTGGGACGGACTCAACTATTCCCACCGTCAGCTGCAGTCCAAGGAGCCCAATGTCGCCACAAGCACGTCGCTCATCATGCAGGTCAGGACACAGTGCAGCGTATACAGTGTGTTCATAACACTGTACACAGTGAGAGCAGGTGGGACAGGCAGCGTGGTCCTTGAGGAACTTTCACGGGTCCCCAGCAAGATCAAAAAAAGTGCTGGCTTTAATTTGAGGATGTATGCATTGACATTGGTTAAACACTTGACGAAGTGATTTCTTCAATTTTAGGGGGACAAAAGTTAACATACATAGAGATAAACTTGCAATGCAGCAAAAAGAGTCATTTAATTTAAAATTAGTGGCCAGCTAAAGTCTGTGCCCATTGACTTCTGCAGACACATGTCTTCATTGGTGATGCCTCACAGGTGCATAAAAACGTTTTTGTTGTCTTCTTTGCATATTTAGGATAAGTGCCCTGCTGCACTGCCCTAATGCTGGGGGACTAGGCCTTTGTGTAATAAGGGCTGCAAGTCCTGTACTGCTCCCCAGTATGGATGCACTGTTAATGTGGAAAGTAAGCACATAGTCATTGTCACCATTGGATTCCCAGTCCAATGTGTTTTAGAGTACATCTCTCAAACAATAAAACAAAATCACCTCACACACAGTTAAGAAAGTTTATGGAAAAAGTGAACTACATTCTCTAATAGGTCTTATTTTGTTTTTTGCTCCTGCATACTGCATATGCATTTGACTGTATCATAAGAATTAAAGAAATCCTTTGTTTTCTTGTAACAGGCTGCGTTTTGTCCCCTGCCATCTCGTGATCTGCTGGTGGTGACTTCTCAGAAAGGCATTCAGGTGAGTTTTTGTGTGCTTTTTCTGCAGTCATTGGCAGTCGCCATGTTTGGAGGAAGCATTGCTACTTGTGTACTTACAGTGGCTGTGTTGTATATTTGTGTTGTTGAGTGTTTTTGCAGCCTTTTACTTTCATATTAATCCATTGTTTTAGATGTATGAATCTGATGGCTCCATCATGGTGTACTGGCATGCACTGGATACTCCGGAAACACCCACAGGTACACTTACATTTAAACAGTGGATCAAAGTCTGACCTGTATTTGCATGACTAGTTTGAAAAGATTAAATATATAATACGATGCAGTACAATGAGATATGATACAGTATGATGAGACAATAGAAGATGACACAAGTATAATTTTTTGTTCCTGTACATGTGTCAGTGTAGTTAATCCATCTTAATAACATAAATATAATTAAGAACATCAGTGGGAGAATCTGATTATTATAATGACATTTTCAGGCATCTACACCCACATTATTATATCTGCACAATCACAAATGGCAGTAACATGAACAATTTGTTTCTGCGTTGTTAAGCTGACTCATAGATACTGCTGGTATTTTACTCACATGATGTAATACATTTGTGCAGTCATACATTTTACCAGTTGCAGTTTTATGCCAAATGTCGTGCACTCACAGAACTTGTTTGTGTCCCAGCTCAGGCAGTGTTTGCTCGGGGGATATCAGCAGTGTGGGAGAGTTATATATGTGTGGGTAAGTACTGAGTGGAATATATTTACGTATATTCGAAATACAGGACAAAGCTCCACTGTCTCTTTCTCTCTGTCTAGGCGTCTCATCTGGTGCAATTCTGGTATTTGATGTTCCCAGTAAAGGCAGTAATATTACCCTGTCTGAGGTCCTGGAGGAGCATAAGGAGTCCATCACTGACATGGCCTCGGAGTGCTCTGGCAGCCAGGTATGGTGTGTGTGCTTGTTCATTGTTTGCAGTCTGCCTATCTGAACCTATAGTGATTTGCTCTTAACTTTTTCCATTAATGACAGACATACTTAAATAAATTACGACTTTATGTAATACTTCGAGGACCTACTATGATTCTATGAGTTACATAATCCCTTCCACTCTGCTGCTGTCTCCCTCCCCTCAGGAGTGCATAGCCGATCTGGTCAGTGCCGATGATGGGGGCAACCTGTGTGTGTGGAAGTCTGGAGAGGAATTTCAGCTGCTAAACAATATCCCTGGCTTTGAGTAAGAAGTTGACCGCATTATAGTTTTGTCATTTTTGGTGTATGATGTAAGACTGAGCTAACATAAAGTGACCTTTGGTGAAACTCCATCACTGTTACTCCTCCTCTACTCTTACTTTCCTCTCTATCTCTCTCCCCTCTTCACGCATTGTTGCACTTGTCAACTCTCCAATATGTTCCTTTCCACCGTCCTTTGTTTCTTCTTCATTTCCGCTCCTCGCTCTAATCTAATGTCCATTATATTTTCCCTTAATGCCCTGATGGCAATCATCCTCCATCTTCCTCACTGCTCTCAGTATGAGCTGCTCATCTGTCAAGCTGTGGAAAGGTACAGTGGTGGCAGGTTACGGCACAGGCCAGATCCGTCTCTATGAGGCAGTGACGGGAATCCTGCATGCTGAGATCAACGCCCACGCTCGCTGGATATACTCACTAGACATTGCTCCTTTTTCTGGGCTGGTGAGTTGAATAAACCAAATTGAATAAAAAAAATCTGTTGATTGTGTTAGGATTTATCATTTGAAATGATAAATAGATATTTAAATTATTTAGCTATTATTTATTTAGCTCAAAATCATGTTAAGGTGGTTCTCGATTATTATTTATTGTTTATCTCATACCACTTAATTTTGCTTTTGCTTTAGCTTCTGTCTGCTGCTGAGGACTCTCTAGTCAGAGTGTGGCACCTGACGCTGACCCCAGAGACCAACAGTGTGGAGGTAACTGCTCTTAAAACAGAAAGCATAATTTATTTTCTTAATATGTTTAGAATCAAGGCACAGTTTATAGTGCTTTACCCACAGGTTTTACTTATGTTAGATCATTTTCTTTTACTGCCAATGAGACCCCGACTCTGTTTTTTTCTCATTTGCATTCAGGTTGCCCATTTGCACAATGAGTGTGTGACAGACACACAGATCTGTGGCGCTAAGTTCTGCGATGGCGATGGTTATGCCTTTGCGGTGACAGGCTATGACCTGAGTGAGATCATACGTTACACCCAAACATAGGATGTTCATTGAAGCTAAGAATTGGAATGTGAATTTGGTATATTGGAATGTTTCTGGAAGGATAACATGACCAAGATGGCACAGAGTCAAACGTCAAATGTTTAATGGCATTTCTGTCTCTATGTCTACAAAGGCTACAAAGAGATGAGTATATAAGATAATAATGCAAAAGTAATTTGTTAAAGTTTCTGTAAATATTTTAAGTGCAGATGTTTACATGTATGTGAATGTAACTTAAAAAAAGTAATGGAATATTCTATGGTTCTTTATGACATCATTGTTTCAAGCAACTATACCAGTAAAAGATTTTGTAGAGAAAGCCAGTGT